TATACATAATAAATAAATAAATCCTTAAAAAAATAATTTTTAGGCACAACATCAAAACCATAATTTATTAAATAAATGATTGACAAGATGAGCTTTACTAAAATTAAAAACATCTGCTTTCATAAAGATGTTATAAAATGAGAAGACATTTGCAGAAAATATCTGTAGAATTCATTTTTGACTAATGGGTTCTCTATATAGTTGTTCAAAGCATAGAAGGAATCTCCCAATAAGAAAGTAACCCTGATTAGCAACAGAGCAGGCTTCTGTGAAAGTGATGGGCACAGTCCTTACTCACAAGAAGAGCGACGACAGTCAGCACTGTTGTAGCCACACTGCGGCTATGATGGGAAACACCATACCAGCACATGCGTTCTGGATTTACTAGGTATTACAAAGGAAATAACGTTTACCTTTAGTGGGTTTTAGTTAATGCCTCCCTCAAAGATTTCTTTGAAGCTACTGATAGTAAGTATAAAAGATTATACCTTAATTTGGTTAGTTATTTATACATAGTATCATCTTGTGAAAAGCAATGTTATTAAATAATAATTATCAAGTAAATAATTAAGTAATAAAGAGAAAAAAGAGCAGAAGTCCTGGTGTCAACCTTATCCAAGAGGATATACATATAGAAAGTATGCATACAAAATTTTATTAGGCAACTAGAAATTCACACTCTAGTTTCAGAATGACCATTCTCCCAAGCACTGATAACACCAAATACATGGGAATGTGGAGTAACAGGAACTTCTTACTGAGGGATTACAAAGAAATATTCATATTAGAAGATAGCCTGGGGCTGGAGAGATGGCTCAGAGGTTGAGAGCACTGACTGCTCTTCCAGAGGACCTGAGTTCAATTCCCAGCAACCACATGGTGGCTCACAACCATCTGTAATGAGATCTGGTGCCCTCTTCTGGCATGCAGTCATACATGCTGTATACATAATAAATAAATAAATCTAAAAAAAAAAAAAGAAGAAGAAGAAGATAGCCTGTCCATTTCTTATGAAATAAAACATAAACCTTACTATAAAATCCAGCAAATAGCCGGGTGGTGGTGGCGCACGCCTTTAATCCCAGCACTCGGGAGGCAGAGCCAGGCGGATCTCTGTGAGTTCGAGGCCAGCCTGGGCTACCAAGTGAGTTCCAGGAAAGGCACAAAGCTACACAGAGAAACCCTGTCTCGAAAACCCAAAAAAAAAAAAAAAAATCCAGCAAATAAACTCCTTGGTATTAACTAAAGTAATTCAAAGTTTATGCCTCCACAAAAACTGCAGCCTTATTCATAATTACCAAGACTTGAAATCAACCATGGTGTCCTTCAATAGGTGAATAAATAAATTGTGATATATTTAGACAATGAAATATTATTCATCACTGAAAAGAAATGAGCTATTGAGCCATGAAAGCACACAGCAGGAGTAGAATTTAAAGACATTATTATGTTTTAAAGAGAAAAAATAAGTAAACTCTCCTAGTGTGTAGTTCTCACACTAGAGTGCCACATTTGTTACCACAGGTGAGCCTACACCTGCACCCCAATCACCCCAATCCTTAATTTACATTAGACTCCATTCTCCATGTCATACATTCTAAGTTTGGACATGTATAATGACATGTGGCCATTTTGATAGAAAGAAAATCTGTACAGGCTACACACTATATGATTCTTACTACAACAGTGCCATGCTGTTTTTATTACTATAGCTCTGTAGTACAGTTTGGAATCAGGTCAGGTAAGGTGATATCTCCCACAGTACTCTTTCTCTTCAGGATTGCTTTGGCTTCCCTTGATCTTTTGTCTTTCTATATATATTCTGACATTGTTATTTTTTTTTGGGGGGGGGTTTTGAGACAGGGTTTCTCTGTGCACAGGGTTTCTCTGTGCAGCTTTGCGCCTTTCCTGGAACTCACTTGGTAGCCCAGGCTGGCCTCGAACTCACAGAGATCCGCCTGGCTCTGCCTCCCGAGTGCTGGGATTAAAGGCGTGCGCCACCACCGCCCGGCGACATTGTTATTTTTAATGTCTGTGAAGAATTACATTCAAGTTTTGATGAAGGTTTCCTTGAATCTGTAGGTTGCTTTTTGTAGGGTGGCCATTTTCACAGGATTATTCTGATCCATGAGCATGGGAGTTCTTTCTATCTTCTGGTGTCTCCTTCAGTTTCTTTTTGCAGTCTTAATGTTTTCATTGTAGTGGTCTTTAAATTCCTTCGTTAAATTTATATCCATATAGGGGAAATTGTGCCCAATGAATGATCAAACACACTGTTCTAGGAATGGAAAAGCTCCAATAGCACATGAGCAATTCATAGCAGAAAACGGCTAATATTCAAAAGCCAATATCACCAAGACTCCTTAAGCCTTGGCTTTATCCTCTGGAAAGGCTCTTGGCTTCTTTCAGGTATAGCTTTGTCATAGTCATCTGAATTCCTACTTCATATTTCTATGTCCCACGCACTTGGTATCAAGGAAGACATTTAATTCTGTTTACTTGTCTATAGAATGGCAGAAACAGAAGGTCTTCTCCAGCTGTTGTTGTTGTGAGAGTATACATAGCATAGGGGCAGGAAGTGAGCTGGAATTCAGTGAGTGGTAGCTTCTATGAATGGACAAATAAATGAATGTAGGATGAGAGAACTGTATAATCTGTCATGTAGTAGGTACACCAAGACAGTGGCTAGAACCTTTTTATGGCAATGTAAATAATAAAGGACATCCTCAATTATAGCTCATGGATATTTTTAAATATAGGACAAAAACTGGTGAGCCATTTCAAGCACCAATGCCAAAGGAAGCTTATGTATCCCTGTAAAAACATTGCAAGAAGCAAGTCACCTTGTCTCTGCTAACCATAAACAGGATGGCTGGATTTATGTCATGATATGTTTCACAGATGGATGTCATGAGGTCAGTGGTCTAAATGTCACAGCAGCTGTGGCTAGTAGGTGATCACCTTCTGAAGCACCTAAGCAGTGTAAGCAGCAGGAGGGTAGGTGACCTCACAGACTAGCACACAAACAGATAGTTCCCAAGAATTCTGAGACCTCACAGATCACCAAGTGTCTAGTCCAATATTTCTCAAAGTAGTCAAGTATTTTTCCTAAAGTGTGGATAGGAATTCAAGGACAGGTTGACTCCAGGGCCACACTCTTGGCATGATGGCACTGAACCTCTCTAGGAAACTGTATGCTGATATGACTGGCTTTGGTTATCATAAACTGCCATGCTGCTTAGCTCATAAAATCCATCTTGAGCTACATATTAAGGAAGGAGGTAGTGGGGCAGCAGATCCAATGTGCATTGTAATATGGGTGGGATCTCCCTGCTAATCCTTTTCCTAGTGATAGAGTCTTGGCTCTGTGATGAAAATAAGGCTACCACCTGCCTTTCCCTCCTGAGCTCTACTGTGATTTTGCTTGTTTTTACATTTTTATTTTATGTGCATGAGTGTTTGAATTGCATGTATGTCTGTGTACCACATGCACATGCCTGGAGCTTGTAGAAATCAGAACAGGGCATTGGATCCCTGGCACTGGAGTTATATATGGTTGTGAGCCTCCATGTGGATGCTGGATATAGCCTGGATCCTCTGCAAGAGCAACCAGTGCCCTCAACTGCAGAGCCATCTCTTCAGCACCTCGACCATGATTTTCCCCATCACAGACCTCTTGATCCTCTTCAGCCTGCAGGACCAAGCTGGGTGACATCTGGATGTACTTTCACCCAAGACAGCCCTACCCTGAGCACCAGAAGGTCACCTCTCAAGAGGTAGAATGCCACAGTGTTTTAAATGAGGAAAAGAACTGTTGTAGACGAAATTCTAAACAGTCTTAGTAAATAAGAAACACAGAGTCAAATATAGGGGTAATAGCCGAAGAGATCAGAGAATTAGCGAAGAGCCACTGATTACCCTTTAGCTTACCACCAAGCCGTAGTTTCCCATGGGAGAGAGCTTCTTCCTGCCTAACCCGCACTTTTATTGCTTTCCTGTTCTGCCTTCTCATTGGCTCTAAGCCCAGCCACATGACTTCCTCATCACTGCCTGTCTATACAGACCTCCAGGACTCTATGGTTGGTACTGGGATTAAAGGCCAAGCAGGACCAGGAAAACTCTAACTACAACTTTCATTTCTTTATATCCTAATAGTTGGTAATAATAACTTTCAAGGATTAGCAAATTGCATTACATTGTTAAGTGAACTGTGTAAGTACTATCTCGAACAAGATTAGAAATATATGTATAGCATTTTCTAACAATTTCAATCTCAATATATATAATTTGTATACAATACACAAAAATCCAATCCAATGTAAAGTATTTAAAACTAGTAATTGTCTTTTAAAAGTAGATTCAATAATCTATCTTTTTATCTATATCGTATCTATATCTTCTCTTTACTTTTCAGAGTAGAGTCAATAATCTACCTTCTATTCTATCATTTCTATTGGTGAAATTATTAAGTATGGTGATATTTTATTTGTACTGAAATGTGATTTTATTTGTATGTTAATAAATAAAGTTGCCTGGGGGTCAGAGCTAATAGCAAGCCATAGCAGAAACAGGGCAGTGGTGGTGCATGCCTTTAATCCCAGCTCTTGGGAGGCAGAGCTAGGTGGATCTCTGTGTGTTCAAGGATACAGCCAGCATGGAGACACACGCCTTTTAATCTCAATACCAACCATAGAAGGAAGACCTGGAGGTCTGTGTAGACGGGCAGTGACGAGGAGGTCATGTGGTTGGGTTTACAACCAATGAGAAGGCAGAATAGAAAGTCAATAAAAAGCACAAACACACAGGAAGTAGGTCTCTTTCGGAGAGGTAGGACAACAGAGACAGTGAAGGGTAAGGTTTTTAGCTCTTAGCTATTGCTCTGACTTCTTGGCTTTCATCTCTGTATTGGCTCTGTGTTTCTTATTTAATAAGACAGTTACATCTACAATTAAGGCCACTCCACGTAGTTAAAGGGAGGTTTATTTCGTGGGGTAACTTACAAGTGAAGGGATAGGTAACAGGGTCTGGGAAAGGTGTAGTGCAGTCCGGCGGTGTTCTCTGGAGAACTCTGCTTGGTCTACCTCCAGCGTCCAGGGTCCAGGGTCCAGGAACCAAGCGAGTCGGTGCATCTGGATCTCGGGTCTTCAGGGTCCTCTCGGCCCCACCTTGTAGGCGTGACAGTTATGGAAGCCTCAGTGGGGGTTGGAACTTCCAGATCAAAGCTGGAATGGCTACCCACCTCACATTTCTATGTATCTTTTTTTTTTCAAACAACAACCTTAAATCTAATCTCCTTTGCTTAGCCCTTTTCCTAACCATTAGCAACTTGTAACCAACCCTCCTAAACAATGAAAATTATCCCAAACCCAAAACCCATTTAACGACCAAAAACCACCCTCCCCATACCACCTCTTTGGGAATGTGGGTGTCATGCTCTTAAAATTGCTTCCTGCTGGTTGTGGGCAAAGGCATCTTTATTCTAAAAAGAAAAATTTTGGGTTAATTGTCAAGTTCTAGGAAAGGTAGCTTTATCATTTGTTGTCCAGTCTATGCTTAATGCCAATGTTCAGGGCTTATCTCAAGTCCTTGTTCAAGTAGTCTGTGAAACTGGATTATCTCAGCTAGCCATCTCAAAATTGTTCTGAGCAGTTTGTAGTCCAAAGCTGATCTGTGGGTGATGTTTGTCAGCTTAGTGGTATTATTATTGTCCACGTGGAATCGTTGTGGGGCCCCACCATCTTTCTGGAGATTTCAAATTCGATGTTAGGCCTGGTGATGATTCCCTGCAGAAAACTGATAGAGACTCTAACACAAAAACATGTATAGGCAGCTAATTGAAGCCTTTTTTCTAGAATTATTTAGTACTCTATATGACCATTAACAAAAGTTTAAAACATATATATTAATCTTATAAATTTTGATATAAAATTCATACCTTAAGAAAAGTTTAAAGAATCAAAATAGAGTCAAAGAATTGAGATTAGTAGCAATAAACTGTCCCTGATAAAAACAAGTAATTGCTTGACTGCAGTTAAGGCATTGCCTTAAGGTACAGCTCAGCCAGTCCTGCCTGAAATGCAACTCTTCTGAGGCATCTGCAGAGACAGCCATTCCACAGCAGTCAGCCTAAAGCCGTAGCTCACTGCACCCTCAACAGTAACCCTGTGAAGTAAGTTAGGCAGGCATTTGTCTCACTAATTAGTCTCTACTGCGATTTTATTTGTTTGTTTGTCTATTTTTATATTTATTTTTTTATGTGCACGAGTGTTTGTCTTGCATGCATGTCTGTACACTGTGTACATGCCTGGTGCCTGCAGAAACCAAGAAAGCACTGGATCCCCTGCAAATGGAGTTATAGAAGGTTGTGAGCTGGGACAGAGCTGGGCTGATTTCTTCCAGTTTCCAAGGTCAAGATCTTTAGCTTGAAAGGCTGCCTTCTGCCTGAAGCACATGAACACTGAGTGGCAGAACTGTAGAACTGTAATTTGTGTTTACACCAACTGCTGAGTGCACGCTTGAAATAAAAAGTAAAAATATATTTTCATTTATATCCAGTTGAGAGGTAATGTAAAAAATTAGCAAACCTGTGCATTAAGCAAATGTTTTAAACCTTTGCTCTTTCTCAGCCCTAGGACTCAGGTGATTCAGATTTCTAATGAGAGTAGTGAACAGCTTTCAGCAAGAAACTGCACCATTCTGAAAGGGCCACCTCCAGTGCAACTTTGCACATGCCCCCACCACCTCCAGTGCAACTTTGCACACGCCCCCACCACCTCCAGTGCAACTTTGCACATGCCCCCACCACCTCCAGTGCAACTTTGCACATGCCCCCACCACCTCTAGTGCAGCTCTGCACATGCCCCCACCACCCTGGGGCAGTTGTTATCATTCTTAAGAACCTTCAGGGTACATGTAACATGATTTGACATACAGATTAGCCCAAGAGAAATTACTAGAACTTATAGCTGAGTTCAGCAAAGTTGGAGCATAAATGATTAATATTTTAAAAATCAATTATAAATAAAACTGGTAAACAATTATATTAACAATAGCATAAAAATAAAATATTTAGAAATCACTGAGCAGTGGTGGCACATGCCTTTAATTTCAGTACTTAAGAAGCAAAGGCAGGCAGATTTCTGAGTTTGAGGCCAGCCTGGTCTACAGTGAGTTCCAGGACAGCCAGGGCTACACAGAGAAACCTTGTCTCAATAAAATATATATATATATACACATACACACATATACATATATTAAATAAAAACACACAGAAGCTTTTCTCTGAATACATAAAATACTACCATTCTAATCTTAATCATAATTTCATTTGGCTTTTTTTGCAAAAACCAATAATCTGATTATAAAATACATATGAGAATTCAAGGCATTAAGAATAGCTAAAATAATCTTGATAAAATAAAATGGGGGACAAAGAACACTGGCTGCCCTTTCAGAGGACCCAAATTCAATTCCCAGCGCCCACATGGCAGTTCACAACTGTCTGTAACTCCAGTTCTAAGGGATCTGACACCTTTACATAGACACACACAAAGCCAAAACACCAATGCACATAAAATAAAAACAACTCATTCAAAAAAATATAAGATGCATAGGTTCTACTAGTAAACATACTGCAAAGCAACAATATTCAAAGCAGCACAGCGCTGGCACAGGAAAGACACAACCAATGGACAGATTCAGGGTTTAGAGTTCCCCTCATAGCTGTGATCCGTTGGGTTGAGCAGCTTGCTAAGACTATACAATAGAAAAAAAATATGTGTTAGCTGAATGTGGTGGCACATACCTTTAATCCTAGAACTTGGGAGGCAGAGAGAGGTGGATCTCCATGAGTTCCAGGCCAGCCTGTTCTACATAGTGAGTTCTAGGATAGCCAGGGCTACATAGTGAGATCCTGTCTCAAACAAACACAACAAACAAACAAAAAAAGAGAGAAAGAAAGAAAAAAAGAGGAAAGAATATTTGCTTAACACATGATTCTGGGGCAGCTGGATAACTATATATAAATTAATATAGTTGTAGCAAATTTAAAAATTAACTCAAAAGTAGTGCTAAACTTTAAACTCCAAGAAGAAAACATTGCCAGGAACGAATGAAAATGAGGATATGATCGCTCCTAGTTATGGCTGAGGAGAAGGTTTTTATTGTAGATATGAGGGAGCACACAGCCAGAGGCATCTGGAAGAGTCCAGGCTGAACATAGACAGCAGAATAGACAGGGCCATAAGAGGAAGAGGGCGAGAGGATCAGGAGAGGAGCCAAGAACCAAGAGGCCAAGACAGCGAGTGCTCAGAATGGGTGGGTTATCTAGGAAAGAGAAGCTGGGCAAAGGGAAGGGAAGCTCAGGGGCTGGGAGGTTTAGAGTGTGTTGCTGGGGAGTGCTGAGAGGAGCCAGGACTCTGCAACAGGTACTTGCAATAGCTGAAGACCAAGGCAGCCAGCATTGGCTTTGATATGTTAATAGGCACCACAATTAGCCATTTGTCCTGAGGTTCTTTGGGACCTAACAACAAATCTTTGCATTTTTAGAGTAGACAATATTTCTGAGATGTGGCAACAAAAGCATAAGCAACAACAGAAAAAAAACAGATAAGTTGGACATAAAAATATTTTTTGTGATATACCATCAAAAATGAAAAGTGGGAAAATGTTTATAATATGTAACTGATAAAGGGATTGCATTTAGAATATATAAAATATTATAATTCAACAATGAAAAGAACCTAAAGACAGAAAAAAATTCTGAATGGATTTTCTCCAAAGAAAATAGGCAAATTCTCAATGGGCACACCAAAAGATTCCCATCATTAACCATGAGAGGAATGCAAATCACAACAAGGATCTACTATTATTGCACACCACTAGGAAGGTGCACCAGTTCTTTTGTATCACTGTGACAAAACAACTAACAGTAACAACTTTCCTTCCATTCATGGTTCCAGAGGAAGCATGGTTGAATAACTTATGTCACAGTGAACAGAAAAGGGGATTTGAGAAGGATCCCTGGGAAGATATAGCCCAAGGACACTTCCCTAAGTGATCTACTTCCTGCAACTAGGCCCCGCCTCCTACTGTAACTACCTCCCCCAAATGCCACCATATTCTGAAACTCTCCCTGGGTTAACTCAATAATTAGTTTAGTGCCCTCGTGATACAACGTCTCACGAAATGGCCACCCAATTAGGTGGGCTGCACTAACCGTTACTGTGATATAATGATGTCTCTGGAAATGCCCACCTGATGAGGTGGATTGCACTTATCCCTTAGGCTTGTCTTAATCCAATCAAATTGACAATTGAAAGTAACCATCCCAGATGCCTGTGATAAGCGAAAGGACATAAGAGTGTGGAGAATTCAAGCCGCCACACTTTGCTGGGGGGTGTTAAAGAGTTTAGCACACTGTCTTGAAAAATACTCTCAATAGGTTAAACACAGAGTTACCATGTGACCCACAACTTCACACCTAGGTACACATTTAAAAGTACTGAAGACATGGGACCACAAAACACTAGTTCATTGATGTCCAGAGTAATGTTTTCCTAACAGCTACAAGGTTGACACAATCCAAACATGTATCAGCTGATGAGCTGACTAACACAATGTTATACACCCAGACAGTGGACTATTTAGCAGTACAAACGGGTGATATTCCAATGCCTCTTACAACACAGATAAACTGTGAATAAATACAAAGTGACAGGAGCCAAACAGAAAAGGCTGTAAATTCTATGATTCAATTTATTTGACATGTCTAGAATAGATCGATCTTTAGAGACAGAAAATAGCAACTTTCCTACAGCTGGGGAATTCAAGGAAAGATAATGAATGATTGCTAATGGACTCAGGTCTTGTTGGGTTGATAAAAATACTTTTAAAACTGATTGTGGTGATAGTTGCATAACTCTGTGAATGTATTAAAAAAGCATGTTTTATATACTTAAAATGAGGGAATCGCCGGGCGGTGGTGGCGCACGCCTTTAATCCCAGCACTCGGGAGGCAGAGCCAGGCGGATCTCTGTGAGTTCGAGGCCAGCCTGGGCTACCAAGTGAGTTCCAGGACAGGCGCAAAGCTACACAGAGAAACCCTGTCTCGAAAAACCAAAAAAAAAAAAAAAAAAAAAAAAAAAAAATGAGGGAATCATGTGCTATGTGAATCACATCTCAATAAGACTGAAATATATGTTGTAAATAGTTCTCTGTACATTTGTTTTTACATATTATATCACAATATATATTTATTGGTACATTTTTATGATGATATGCATATATGTATATATGTGTGTGTGTGTGTGTGTGTGTGTGTGTGTGTGTGTGTGTATCTTTCAGGACTGGGTCTTTTCCTCCTCTTCTCTCAGCTAATCAATAACTATTGATTACTACTTAGAAATCTGATAGTATATCTATTTTTTTCTCTCCACTCCTCCTCCTTCTCTTTCTTTGAGACAGGGTCTTGCCTGTATTACTTGCTAGCCTGGAACTCACTATGTAGCCCAGGCTAGTCTTCAACTTTCCATAAGTCCCCTGACGAACTGCACATCACAGCGCTAGAATTAGAATAATGTCCTACCATACCCAGCTATCTAATGGGTTTTATTTAGAAACACAAATTATTTAATGTGTCTTGAGAAATATGAACTACATAAATTCTCTTGTTGATGAGAGGCATATAAAGATGGATGCAAAGAGATTCTACTTGGAGTTAGGAAGATTGGTTTAAAGGGGTTTAAAGAACAGCTGCTGATCAATCCATACATTAAAACTATCATTTGGGTAAAAAATACACATACTACACTTCACCTACAGAATGCAGAAGCTTTAGCAATACAATAGTCTGTGGTTGAACAGGGGTGCAGTGACTGCCCAGCATCAAGAGCATCATACTGCCGATCTAGGAAAAACTGGACTCAGAACTGGAAGCAGTTTCCACCTACCGCACATCCTTTTGTTGTGGATAAAAAGACGCTTCCTTCAGCATCCCAGTGGAGCATTCCTGAAGTAATGGTCTTGTGCTCTAGACAGAAGAATTCACACCTGGACACAAGCAGAGTGAGAAAGTAGTGAAGGTTTATTCCAAGCAGTCAAGTAAGCAAAAGCTAAGTCATCCACCCAGTGAAAAGGTCAGGTCAAGTCAAGACAGTGGCTTGGTCTGCCTCTAGTGTCTAGTCTTACTCTACCATTTCTCTTCCTGTTGTCTACCTTCAGGCAACTAGGGTGGTCTTCTTCCTGGAGTAGGCACAGGCTTTCTCAGAAAATATCCTTACACACAGTTCAGTCTGTGACAATTAGATACATTAGATGCAAGAACATGTATAAATGTGTAATTGCCCATAAAGTTGAGAAGTTTACTAGGGGAAAGGGCAACTATACCTCGAAGGTGTTCTTGGGGGGAGGGGCTTCATAGGAGTAGGCCAGAGCTTACCCAACCTGGTTTGTTATTTTTCCTAGAGCCTTGCCCCTCCTCCTAACTGGTCATTGTGGCTATCTTCACAACCAGCTACATGCCTTTTTATTTATCTTCTTTGACATTCCTGCTGTTTTCATCCTGATATTTTTTTTAGCCATAGCAACTTCTGCAACACTGTAAAATTTTAAGCTAAATCATCATAAGTTGGGGGTGTCAAGAAGACATTAAATTTGACATGAGCTACATGGAGTGAAAAGCTGGTCGGAGAGCTATAAAAGGATTCCCAAGTGACTCAGAGTGATGGTTGAGCCTGGAGGCTATGATGTATGGTGTAATATATCTATATCACATTGTGAGACGTTCTCAGTTTGACCCAAGAGCTTCATGTTGGTACGACGATTCTGCAGGCGAGGAGGTACAATGTAAGAAGCAAGAAGAAGGCACTGCATTGTGGGGGACAATAAGATTGATTAAAGTGGTAAGAGAGCTAAGAGAAGCCCAGGGGAAGTGAAGGGTAGAAGAAAAGGAAGCAAGAGTTCAAAGCAGCAGATGTGAGGGAATGAGGTGGAAGAGAAGGAAGCTGTGCTCAGAGGCTGGTAACAGAGCTGGACCTCATGATCAAAGCGGTTATGGGAGCAAGCAGCTCCAAGATGACTTTGAGAGTGGGTTGTGGTGCGTGGGCACTACACACCCCTAAGTCTGCTTCCTTGGAGCTTCTAGACATTGAGGCAGCATTTAGGGTGTTTTGTTGTTTGTCTGTTTGTTTGTTTTTACTAAATCTATTATCCCCAGGAAAAGAAGCAGTATTTATTGCTACCTTTAAACAGTGGAGAAACTGGGTACAGTGGCACACCCCTGCAATTCCACAACTAGGGAGGTAGAGGCAGGAGGATTATGTATAGGGAGCCTGGTCTGTATAGTGAAATCCTGTCAAAGAAAACTAAACCTAGGACACAGGCAGAGAGCACAGGCCTGCACACCCCGCTTCTCAGGTATGCATCTGACTCCCAGTCGCCTGAACTTACCCTAGTCAAATCCAGGCCTTTTTGTACTTCACTGTAGTATTTTATAATGAAATAAATGAAGTCAGGTTAAAAAAACTAAATGCTGGGTTTCATAAACACAACGTCTTTTAAGTATGTCATATATTTTTTATCATACTTACACTCCTAGACCTGCCCTTTCTCCCTCCCTCTTCTTCCCTCCCACCTTGTACTTTATTGCTAGTCTGCTTGTAATTTATTGATCAAAAACAAAACAAAAAACATTGAAAATTCCTGAAAGTTTATTAGAGACTTTAGATTAAATATAACGGAGAAAAACAAAGCACAAAGGGATTACATTTTTCTTTTGATTTTTTTTCCAAGACAAGGTTTCTCTGTGTAGCTCTGGTTGTCCTAGAATTCACTCAGTAGATGAGGCTAACCTCAAACTCATAGCTCTGCCTTCTTCTACCTCCCAAGAGCTGGATCTAAAGATGTGAGCCACTATGCCTGGTTCACCTTTTGATTTTATATCATTTTTTAACATTATTTGTTTCACTCATAACTCTAACCTCTTACTTCTAAAGCCACGCATTAGTTTTATGGTACATAAGAATACATAGCAATTGAAAAGTAACATGTATTGTTTGTTATATATGTTATATATGTCTTAGCTAGGGTTTCTATTGCTGTGAAGAGATACCATGACCATGGCAACTCTTATAAAGGAAAATGTTTAATTGGGGCTGGCTTACAGTTTCAGAAGTTTAATCTGTTATACTCATGGTGAGAAGCAAGGCAGCATGCAGGCAGACATGGTGCTGGAGGAGCTGAGAGTTTTACATCTTGATATGCAGGCTACAGGAAGTGGTCTGTCTCACTGGATGTGGCTTAAGCATATATGAGACCTCAAATCCCACCTCCACAGTGACATACTTCCTCCAACAAGGCCACATCTCCTAATAGTGCCATTTCCTTTGGGGGCCATTTTCTTTCAAACTACCACACTTAACTAAGAAAATGGATTGTCTTACAAAGGAGGTTAAAATGATCACAAACAACGGTGACAATCTTAAGTAGGCAGTAATTTCCTTAACTATGTTCAACACATGAGTTCTGAAGCATGACAGAAACAAGCAATTAGTTTGAAGCATAGTTCTCACAATAAGACTTAGGTGAGTAACTCATAGAAACCACGGAAGAACTCTCTGGTGGGAGGAGTGACACTGGAGTGGATCCAGGTGAGAGAGTTCTTGGCCTCGTTTCCCATGAGTCTGCTTGGGTAGGTGTAGGGTCGGGCTATAAAGATCATTTTCTTTCTGGGACACACTGATCTGAGGTGGTTTCAATGACCCTTGCCCACGGCAGCCGTTAGACAGCCATAATTATTTCCTTTGTGGCCTTTGACTCTTAAGCCTGGGTACTAAGATAGTTTATGATTTGCCTGGAATCTACCCTTGTGTTTTGATGATCACAATAATATAGAGTAGCCCTGTGGTAAGTGCAGACTTCATTCTCATGCTTCACTTACTCTGTGTGTCCTTGGAAGTGGTTTTTCCAACCTCTTATCATGTCCTGCCCAATTTTACCTCCTAATCTCAGCTCCACTGTCCCCATCCCAGCATGAGCTACCATGTTCTCTCATTCTCTCAGCTGGATGCTCCTAGAAACCCTAACCAGTCTTATGTCGTATTAGTTGCACTAGTGCCTTCACTTCATACTATTAGTTTTCTACACAGTTGTGGGGGAAGGGGATAACAGGAACAGAGAGAAGGACAGCAGAGTGATGGGGCAGACCTGCAAACGTGGCAACACAGTTAGAATCTCAGCACTCTGAAATTGAACCAGCATGATCGTTCGCTTGAGGCTAGCACTGGTTCCACAGCAAGATGTTGACTACTCTAGGATTTTGCTCAAAGCCTGCCTAAAGTTCTCTATCATGCTTGGAATACAACCCTTGGTCTCTTGGCCTTCAGGGTGTGCCTTCTGCCTACCCCTCCAGGGTCTTCTTGTTCTCACAAACTCTGGTCTATCCTAGTGGAAGAAATGTACATTCTGTCTCCCTTCACTTACTTAACTCAGCTTCATCCTCTGTGAGCTGGCTTCATTCTACCCTAGTATGTTAGATTCCTGATAGAGCTTCTCAGAACATACTGCCCTTTCTCTTAAGGGCATTTATTCAATTTGTCATTACATAATTACACATCAATAGTTTCATATCTAAACCAAGTATCTTGGTTAGGATTTCTATTGCTGTGACAAAATGCCATGACCAAAAGCAACTTGGGGAGGAAAGGGTTTATTTCATCTAGCTGATAGTCCAGGGAAGTCAGGGCAGGAATTCAAGGCAGGAACCTGGAGTGGAGGGTGTTATTTTCACTTGCTCCTCAGGGTTTGCTCAACCTGCTCTTACAGCATTCAGGACTAACAGTCCAGGGGTGACACTGTCCACAGTCATCTGGGCCCTCCCAAAACAATCACCAATCAAGAAAATGCACCACAATCCAATATGGTGGGGACATTGTCTCAGTGAGGTTTCCTCTTCTCAAATGACTCTACCTTGTGTCAAGTTAACATAAAACTAGCCAGCACACCAGGCCATGAACTCTACATGACCTTTTTGTATGACACCATTTAGCAACACTTCCATCTCATGTCAATTCAGTGGAAGAACCATGCATGATCTTGTTTATCATTGTGGATTTAAGTCCTAGAAGATGCCTGGTGTACAAGGGGATAAATAAACATCTATGTTGATTCTACTTCAAATGCCATAGCCAGACTTGAGATTTTTGAAGACTTTCTAGTCTATTCATCTTCCAAACCATTATAGTCACTACTGCCATGACAGTCTTTCAGATATGAACACCTTCCCTGAACACAGCTGGCACTGTGTTCTAAATTGGTCTTCTCATCTGTCCCTTTGCATAATCAAGGCAGATTACTGAGAGTGTACTGTGCACCAGCACTGTATGAATACTGCATATAAACAACAGTGCTCACTCCTCACTTGTTCCATGAGAGGAGACAAGGATTTAGTGAGATTAATAATGCACTAGGACTGTAGGGCTTGTAGGAGGTAGGCCCAGGGTGCTTGTTAGCTTTTGATACTGAACCCAGGTAAATTAACTTACAGAGAGGAAAAGTTGGTTTTGCTTTGCAGTTTTGTTACCGTGGTGAAATCATGACGGAAGCTGAAGGTGGGAAAAGCTACTCAATGCACGCCCAGGATAAGACACTTTAGACAAGAAATGCAAAGAGCACACCCGGTGATTCAATGGCCTCCTAGTAGGCTGTATCACTTCCCCCATAATGCTACAGATTAGGGGGCCTTTGGGGAATGTGTACTGTAAACTATAGCAATATCTAATGACATGTTTTATTAGTTTGAATTATGTTTGCCTGCGCATGTCAGGAAAGCCCAAAATACAGCAAAATGACTTAAGTAAATGACATATCATTCATGGTCTCTCTCACTTTTAAGACCAGAAAACAGTGCCTGGAGTTAGGTACCTGGTCATTGGGGACAAGACATGTATAATTTTCTTCCTTAGTTTGTAACTTCCACCTTGAGGTCTGAGATGCCTACCTGGACTCCAATAATTCTCCCTGTGTCAGCCATGGCCATACCATTTTGTAAAGCT